CACACACACACACACACACACACACACACACACACACACACACACACACACAAATAAGCGCTGCTGCAGAAAAAAAATTGCACAACAAACAAGCCATTTCCTCCTCATCGGCCGCTCCGTCACCTCACTCGAGGGGCTTCATGAAGGAAATATTTCAAGATGAATCAAAGTCATTTTTGACAGATCGTCACGAGTGATCCAGACCTGTCTCAGCCCACCCCCCGGGCCTTCAAGGGCCCACCTCCACAGTAATCAAAGTGAAAAAGGTTGGCCTCCGAACTGGCCAGCGGCTAATGTTTACCTCCAAAACACCAGCATGAAGATCGTCAAGCGTGTGATGGAAAATTCACCTTTGTGCTGAAGAAAAACATAACTTTACAACGAGATGAAAACATCCTCCTAAAGGACAGGAGCGCAGCACCCAGAGCAAGCATCTGCTAAATAAACACACCTAAAGTGACGGATCATATCTTTAAAAGTGGGGGTCTGTGGAAACGTTTGAAACGGTCAATATCTTACCTGTTGTAGATACACATGATAGAGAGTTATGGTCACGTGCATGAAAGTGTGAGAGAGAAGGGAGTGTGGGAGTCAGTATTTATCAGGTCCTGGATGACTGAGAATTCACACTAACCAGAAGCAAACATTACGCTGATTTAAATAATAATAATAATAATAACAGGTTTGAACGTGACCAGGCTTTCCTGCTTCCAGCTTTTTGTACAGCATTTGTCTCCAGTTTGTGTCCTTGACTAACCCCTTGTACTTTTTGTAATTGTGTAACACTTTCCCACTTYCACTCATCCTGCAGGACAATATTTAAAGAGTTCAGTCCGGCTCTAAAACATCTATCATATATTATATATCACCTGGTGATTTATGAAGATGAAGAAGCAATTTAACAGCAAGGCAGATGAGGCCCAGTCCCACAATGAATCCACCATCATGCAGCACATCAGAGCCATAAAAATAGCTGCAATTCACCTTGATTAAAAGCAATGCAGATTTCAAAATAAAGCTACAAAGTCTCAAACAGGAAGCATTATTTTTGTACCATCTGAAACCAGACAGCTAGGATCCGCAGAGCAGCTGATGACTGCGCATAAAGCCCTGCAGAGCTGCAGAGCTGCAGAAACACTCAGCATCAAAGAGGCTTTTTTTTATATCAAGCAGCAGAAACTCGTTCCTGCATTCGTCCAAATGCTTTTTTTTACACGAGATATTTTAAGGCTGCGGCGCGTGACGCACTTAAAACGCGTTTGACCGTGAAACAATAAACATACAGCCGCTTACCTGAAACCAAAGATTAATTCAGTTCTTCTTTGTTGTCTTTTTGTTTTTTAAAAAGCGAGCTCCGTCCAGTTTACAGTGCGCGTCGCCTGCGAGCTGCAGAGTCTGACCTTGTTTACACAGCAGACTGACATTCGGCGGCTGCTCGAGTCGGGACACTTCGGCTTTCTCCGTCGGTGACGTRGGGAAGCTGCGACGGTAGTGTTGCGCTTTTAGGAAAAAGTGACTAAAATATACTAAACTAAGAAAAAAACACAGTAATAATTATTCAGTTGAAGAGGAATTAATACTATTCAACTACAGTTTATAAACACAACATCATAGTCTACATTCCTGCAAGCTTAAAACATCTTTTAAAATGGCGTTCTCATCAATTAAGGTAATGATGACTAATCAATATCGTACCTGCTGTAGATAATTTATTGAACAACCACAGCTTGTGAAAGTTTCAGCCATGTAACAATTTTCTCCTTTTTGCAAAAGTCCTCAGGAGGACAAGAATTAAATAAAGTGAGTGAAATAATGTTTAGAGTTGTGTTTCATTTTCTTCAAACCTGTGATTTGCAAAAATGTCTACAAATTTAGATAAAGATGATCAAATACAAATATCTGTGTTGATGATTTATGATTACTTGTAACATTAGATACGAGATTTATTTTAGCTGTAAAACAAAGACTAAAATCAATGTGGACTATTTAGTTTTTACACATTTTAAATATATGTATTGTTAGCTTAAGAACTAATGCTACGCGAACATTCAACCATTAACATTTTCACTTTCAAGCTGAGCCATTTCTACATTTTCCTGTAGGTGCTCTGGTTTCTTTTAAAAGGGCTGATCATCAGATAATGTCCAAGATTAACTTCAGGTTGAATTAGAGCTTGCACAGCCTTGCACTGGAAAACATGCGCCATCATTTATCTGGTATACTTTGCAGCGTTAATAAAATGGCTCCATCCATGTGACAATAGTAATAAAATAGTTATAAAACTTTATTACATATGCTTTTTAAAATAATCATAATGTCAATGATTGCTTTTCTTTAATAAATACAGTACAAAGCATAAAATTAGGAAGACATGATAAGCTCTGTGATGACTCAAAAAAGACAAAATCATATTTCAAAACATTTCATTAAATAATCAGAAGTCACTCAGTGAGGGAAAACAATCAACTGAGGCATTGTATTAAAATATATTGTGATTATTGTAGTGTGAGGTGATTTCTCCTTCATGAATTAAAATATATTAGCACAATTTTATTCTCATAGTGCCACAGCGTAAAAGAAAAACAAATCTCAGAATAAAAACAGGTTTTAGAAAAACAATGTGATCTTCAGCTCAGGAACAGCAGAACAAGAAGACGTCATCATAAACAAACTAATCCTCTTCATGGCTGGCGACAAAGTAAATAGTGGTTCATGTTTTAGGAAAGATTCAGTCATCATGCGTTCTTAACGATGTTCCAGGCACCTTCGTTCAGCTCATCTGTCCCACTTGTGAAAAGTTWTCCCAACATTCAGCGGTGTCCTCTTCAGTGCAGAGGATGCGGCTCCTCTTTGGTTTCTCCTCGGCTCACGATCAGTTTTTGAGGTATCTGAATTAAAATCTGTGCAGGATTTTGTTGAGAACATGAACGGATTTATTGCCTGAAAAAGGTTGTTCARTTTCCTTCGCATTCATCAGCCGGCTTGAGGCCTTCGCCTCACACAGCAGGTGGAACTGCGCCGCGGCTGTCAGAGGTGTTGGCGTCGGGTTGAACAATGGGTCCTGTGCCGGTGTGGAAACTCTGAGGAGGGGTGAGGTCCAGGCCAGGYGACAGGATGTCGTACGGCAGCTCCACAGACTGGCGAACACTCTCTTCGTACGTCGGTGGAGGCTGCGCAGAAAAACAAGAAGTCTCTTTAAACAGAGCGAGGTTCAAATAACAGAACCGGTTTTGTTTTTATAAGCTTTTAACTGCTTTTAACCTACAACACTTCGGAGACTTGAGTTGTTTTAAGGCAGTGGCAATCCACTTGTGTCTTTGGCCCCACTCAGTCTAGACGTCAGCTTGTCAGTCCAGTTAGAACTCCTGGGTTTTTAAGTTGCATTTTGGATCATCCTGATATCATGAGGAGTTCCAGAGATGTGCAGTGATTTGTCTTCCTAATCAGGATAATTCATTACTACTTGATCTGAATCCTATTTTTTAGTTTAATCTAACGAGGAATTTAATTTTTGATGTTGTTTTAAAGAAGAAAACCTCAAACAATATTTGGAAATAGGAAAGAAAAAAACTTTGCTAAAGGGAAAATATAAAAAATGTAAGACTTTACTATTGAGACCATCTGGTGACATTGGATTTGAAAAAATTAACATGTGGCTACAAGATTATAACTCATGGTCATGATTTAATTAATGAACGGCCACAAGGTAATTTTGAGCTGTGTCTCTTTGTGAGAGATACAGACATTTATGGAGTCAGATTATATATAAATATGCTGTTTTTGTGTTTGAGTATTTAAAGGTG